TATAGAATTTGATAAATGGATTGAAGCTATGAAAGAAGATCTAAAATCCATGGATTAGAATGATGTCTGGGATCTCGTCGAATTACCTGAAGGTTCCAAAAGAGTCGATTGTAAGTGGATCTTTAAGATGAAACGCGACTCTAATGGTAATATGGAACGATATAAAGCTAGACTTGTTGCCAAGGGTTATACTCAGAAAGATGACATTGATTATGAAAATACATTTTCACCTATCTCGAAAAAGGATTCAGTAAGGATAATTATGGCATTGGTGGCTCATTATGATTTATAGCTACATCAAATTGATGTGAAAATAGCCTTTCTTAATGGTGACCTTGAAGAGGAAGTTTATATGGACCAACCTGAAGGTTTTTCCATGGAAAGTGAAAGAAAATTAGTGTGTAAACTCAAGAGGTCAATATATGGACTTAAGCAAGCATCTCGACAATGGTATATCAAGTTCAATACCATTATTACATCTTCTGGATTTGAGAAAAACACTGTTGATCGGTGTATTTACCAGAAGATTACTGGGAGTAAGTTTGTTTTCTTAGTTCTTTATGTTGATGACATCTTACTTGCTACAAATGATTTGAGTATATTGTGTGAGACTAAAGATTTTCTCTCAAAGAATTTTGAAATTAAAGATATGGGAAATGCGTCCTATGTGATTTGAATAGAAATATTCTGTGATCGATCACAAGGATTGTTGAGACTATCTCAGAAAGGATATATTGAGAAAATTCTAGAGAGATTTAATATGAGTAAAGGATCACCTGGAGTTGTTCCTATACAGAAAGGTGATAAATTTAGTCTCATGCAATGTCCAAAGAATGATGTTGAATGGAAAGAAATGGAATCAATTCCATATGTCTCTGTTGTGGGCAGCTTAATATATGCTCAAACTTGTACTCGGCCATATATCAGTTTTGCAGTCGGGATGTTGGGCAGATATCAAAGTAATCCAGGAATGGAACATTAGAAAGCTGCAAAGAAAGTTTTAAGATACCTTCAAGGCAAGAAGGATCACATGCTCATGTACAAAAGGTCCAATGGATTATAAGTAATTGGATATACTGATTCGGATTTTGGTGGATGTCTTGATAGTAGAAAGTCAACCTTTGGCTACTTGTTTATGTTTGCCCAAGGAGCCATACCATGGAAAAGTGCAAAATAGACTATCGTTGCTTCATCCACTATGGAGGCAGAATTTGTGGCATGTTTTGAAGCCATAACTCATGCATTATGGTTGTGGAACTTTATTTCAGGGCTTGTGGTTGTCGACACCACTAGCAGGCCGCTGAAAATTTACTGTGATAATTCTGCAGCAATATTCTTCTCTAAGAACAAGAGATACTCTAAAGGTGTCAAACATATAGAGTTAAAGTATTTTTCTGTTAAAGAGGAGGTTCAGAAATAAAGAGTGTCAATTATGCACATCAGAACTGAACACATGATGGCAGACCCTTTGACGAAAGGGTTACAACCAAAGCTATTTAAAGAACATGTTGAAAGTATGTGCTTTGATTGTATTAAAGATTATTGATGTGTGACACTCTGAGCTCACCTATGTGTTTCTGACATACATTATGTTTCCTTGTTATTTTATGGTTGTATATACATTATGAATTTTGACAAGGAAGTCTTTGTAAGACATTATGTGGACCATTATGTTTCCTATATTATGAATTTTATATGATGGATTGTTGGTGTTGTAGTATATGGAAGGGAATGTACTGAATTAATAGCGCACTACCGCCATAACTCACTTGACAATTTATCTTTCACGATGACTAACATTAGAGATTAACATGTATATTACGATTAATCGGGTCAAGTGAGAGAATGTTAGAAATATTAATAGTCAATTATAATATTAAAAGAATTTTATTATAATTATAATATTAAGACTCTTGATATTAACCATTAAACGTTATATGACCCAATTAATTATTGATGCATTTAATCTCAATTAATGATTTGGTATATGATGGACGTACCAGATTATAAGTTGTGGAATATATATATTAGGGATGGTCCTCTCTCTCCTTCAACCCTAATGTCATTCTCTCTGTCAGAATACATATCAAGTAAAGAAGACTTAGAGAGAAAAACTATCCCAACACAATTGTTCACAAGATGATGACTGCTCTTAATCCTTCATCATCGTTTCCGGATATGTTTTTATCTCTTATGTATATGTGAAATTAACGTATTCTCAAGATCCTTTATCATGTTCTTATTTTTATAATTTATGAACATAATATATGATATATGATATATGATATATTATGCAAACTAATAGTTGCTTGTTATTCTTTACCTTATATTTCATAACCATTAAGAGGCAGAAATTTATAAGTCCCAAATAATTGTGAGAAAGTCCAAGTCTTGCCTTCAGTATAGTACACCGCGTGCCATGCCATTTTCATGCACAAGCAGCTGGCAAACCCTGCTCTCTCTCTGTCACTAACGGATGCTCACAAAACCCACACATAATCAGCACTATACTCATTACCTCACCAATCATGCACAGATCACATACCCCATTTCAAACTTAATGTACCTTAAAAAGGGTCACCGTCCAATTTCATCATCATCAGCATCATTATTGTTATCCTTGTACCAAATTTGAACCTTTCACCCCCAAGTCAATAGTATCATGATGCTGTGTATGAGTTGCTCTGGATCATTGGTCTGGTGAATGGTGAAGACTGAGAAGGATGTATGTTTTTTTTTTTGGGAAATAAGATGCCAATGCCTCAGTGGAAGCCATCCATAAAATATTGAAATGTTTCAACATAAAATGACCCTTTTCTTCTTAGAGCAACATAGCTTAGGTCTTTTTTAAAACCAAACTATGTTTTATTTTCTCTATAATTAGATTTAGAGAACAAATAATATGAATTGAATAATAATGTAAACCTTTCTTTGTCCTATAAGTGAGAGATTTAGTATTGGATATATATGTTATTGCAATGACATATATATCCCTTCTTCCAAACATTGAATATAGCTTGCCATGCCAATACCAAACATCCATTTTTCTAATGTGGAATTTTCTGCAACTTTCTACTTTTATGCTATGGGGGAGGCCTCATATGCATCACCACACACTGCAATAATTTTGTTGCTGCAATCTTCACAAGAGGACAATTAGGTGGGGGAGGGTAAACTTTGAAGTTTGAATGGATGGATGGCCGGACAGGTTGCTAAAATTGTTTGGCTTTTATGGGTCCCCGCAGTACTGCACTAAAAGTTCAACCAGAGGAAGAAAAAAGTAACAATGTTAACAGGAAGAGCATTAAATTTGTCCCTTCCACTAGTAGGATGGGTATAGCTAGTTAGCCATGGTACTCACTCTCCCAAGTCTAATACTAGACTCAGAAACCCCACGTGAAAATGAACAAAATTCAGACCATAACCTCTGTGCCATACCTTCTTCAACTGCCCATTAAATGTTACAGAAAAATAATAATATATATATATATATATATGGGGCAAGATCATTTTACACCGGTGTAAGAATAATAAGTCTTACACCAAATCTTAACCATTGATTTTCTTCATCTAACGGTTAAGATTTATTAGATCTCACTCATTAATTAATTTTTAATTCTCAATAAATCTCAATCGTTGGATGCACGGAAATCAACGGTTAAGATTTGGTGTAAGATTTATTATTCTTACACCGGTGTAAGTTGATCCTATCCCTATATATATATATAGTTTATATTTCTCAAGTCATTTTATATAATCTCTTTGGTTATTCCGAACTTACATCATTTTATGTGTTAGAAAAATTAATAAAGAATGTTTTGATAAAATTCATATAATAAATAAATAAATAAAAATACCAAAACACTCTTCGTTAATTTTCTTAACACCCAAAAGAATGTAATTTTAGAATAAACATGTGACTTTACGAGAAATATTTCTATCTCTCATATATATATATATATATATATATATATATATATATATATATATATAAATATAAATATAAAAGAGAACGAAATTTCTCCCTCAAGATATTGTTAGCCCCCCATGTTATATGTAGTCACTGTGTTAACACACGCTCTCAATTTTTATCCACGCAAAATGAATCCTATACATGAAAAACAATCATTAATGTCTATTGGCATATGTGGAGTCAGTCATACCAGCTTCAAGGGTTGTCTCTGCTTAAAAGCATATAGTCCTAGTTTGAATTAATGTATTTCAAGTATAAAGTTCAGATAAAAATATCTGTTGGGATTTTGTTAACAAAAAAAGTCATGATAATATAAAATTGTATTCTTTCTCACTTGTAATATTTTGTCATATTGTAATGAATTCTTTTGAAAATGATTCTTAAATTGACAGTCACAAACTTATCCCATATAAAATGCATAAACAAGAGATCAACTGACCAAGAAAATCATCACTGATAATGAAATATGGATATTGCTACATTAATATCTCAGATTTATGAAAGATCCATGACTATGACGGTGAGTACATTTCAAATAATTAAGAAGAGAAGAGAGGTCCCTATCTCAAACAAATACACTAAGCTTGTGAGGGTACATTTTCAGATTAATTAACCACAATAGATACATGGTTTATCCCATTAAAATAGCTCAAAAATCAGAGAACCCTTTCTCCCTGTCAGCTCCAACCTATTCACAACAATCCAAGATCTTCTGCTGCAAATCTGCATTGTTGCAATCATACCCAGCAAATAAGATCAAACAAACACTGATACAATAGTTATGCATTCAATTTCTAAAAGTTCAATAGAAACATTTTAATAACCACCACTCACAGTAAATGTAAAACTGTCAAATTCATAACTAACCTAAATACAACCACAAATACCAAAGCTACCCTTAACAATGACAATCAACACTACTTAGAAAGGTCCAAGCCCAATAATGGGAACATAGATATCTAGCTTAAGAAATATTCAAAGTCAAATCCTACTTAGTCAACATTATAAAAGGTCAACCCAAAAAAAATCAATAGCCCCACATGCAATCAAACTCAGATGGTCCCAATGGCATGGTGGAACTACCCTCAGCCACCCTCTGCTCCTCCGGCACCGGCCAGTTCCCGACGGCGCCACAACCTGCCATGTCACCTCCGTGGAAGGGCGGCGCAGCCGGGGAGAAAAAGAACGGTAGCTGAAGGTTGTCTTGCAATGACCTCAGGCTTGGGAAGACAGAGACACCAACGTTCCTCTGGAACCGAGAAAAAGGGTCCATAGTAAGAGGTGGCGGAACAAGGTCAAAGCTTGCATTGGCGGCGGCGGAAGATATTGTGGAGAAACAGGACACGTGCTCCCTTTGTGCGGTGGTGTTGTCGAAGGAGCAGCTTTCACGGTCGTTGAAGGCGGAGGCAGCGGTGCTGGTGGTGGTGTAGGGGGAAGAGTCAAGAAGCGGTGGAAGGTAAATGGAAGATGGTGAACCGGGTTCAGGGCAGAGGCTCATGTTAGCAGATGAGTTGCTCGTTATTCTTTGCACTTTCTTTGAGCCACTAATGGTGGCAGACACGGTGGAGCCACCACCTGTGGTACTCTTCTGAAACACACGCGATATGACCCACTCATCCTTCATCAATAAAAAGAATAGAACCACTTTAATTAGTCACTGAAAAAATAGGGAACAATAAATAAGTGTTAACTGTTTCTTCTAAAGTGTGTTTTGTGGAAGCAAAAGCTAGTACAAATGTACAATGTTTAAAAAGATTATCACTCAGGATCTTATGTTTCTAAGCAGCACTATAGAAAGAAAAAGAAAAAAAGGTTAATTAATAATACAATGGCTTAATGGTGTGCCCCTGTTGTCATCAGTTTCATATATATATATAAGTTTATTTTTCCCATGCAAATTAAACTCATATATTCACAATATGCTAAGAAATATGACTTTTTAAGGAAACATAACTCCAAAACAAATGAAAGAGAAAAATCATGAAATTTATAAATGCAACCTAATTATAGAACCAAATTAACAAATGCAAGGTTTGTGCATGGGCAATTTGATCAGCGTTAAGAAGAATAATGAGTAACCTTGGAGCTTTTAGAGAGGTAATGGTAAGCAAATTTGCCTTCAAGGCGATACTCATGCATGACCCAATTGCTCTTCTCACCCCTAGGAGCTCTTCCTCTATAGAAAACCAAGGTTTTCTTCATTCCTACAAGTGAACAAGTTTTTGAGCTATAAATCTCTCTGTCTTTCCCTGTGGCTTTCCAATAACCAGCCTCTGTGGCCCTATTAGTACGTAACCCAGTTGGGTACTTTCTGTCACGTAGGCTAAAGAAGTACCATTCCTTCTCACCCATCTTTGCTTTTTCTGCTCATCAAAACAAGCACAAAGTTAGTAAACAACAACAACAACAACAACATTTTTGAATGAAAAAAACCAAGTTACAAGAAAGAGGGTTTGGTTTACCAGGAAGCTCCCACGGTTCACATTTGTTAAGATCAACTTCAGCTATGGCTCTACCAGTGAAGGTGCTATCTAGAACCTTCTTGAGGAGGTAGTATGTGATAAGCTCTTCATCAGTGGGGTGGAAGCGAAAGCCAGGAGGTAAATGTGCATCATTGTTGTGAGTGTTATCAAAGTGGTGATTGTAGTAACTATCCATAGGAGAGCATGCACAACAACTACACAACAAGTTAAGGAAGCTTGAAAACAAAAGGGTGATTTTCAAAGGAGGGGAGTCACTAGAATGGGAATGTTGGGTTGTAACACTTGATGGCTCTTCATTATATAGGAGTTGTTGCTAATGGGGTTGTGTGGTTTTTTATTTTGTTGAAAGGGGTGTGTGTGTGTGCTTGTGAGAGTTTCATGGGGATTTGATGAATCGAGTGGCAGAGGGAAAAAGGTGAAATAATAAGGTATGATATGGTTGGAATTGAAATATCTGTGTGATTTCTCTGCACTGTACTATTATGATCTCTCTCTACTCTCTAACATGGTCCCTATCATAATCCACAATTCCACATAGCTAGAGAGAGAGAGTGAGAGAGAAACAAAGGGTGATGTGTAAGACGGTGTGGGCTCTGAGACTCTGCTTCAAGTATGCGTGCGTGTGTGAGGAAGTGTGCAGGTATTCCTCTGTCAGTGAAAAAAATTACAAGGGAACAAAAAGTTCTAATATTTAAACATTCATAAATATTGGTCATGTTCATTTTTGAACATGAAACATATTGATTTTTAAAAAAGACTCATGTAATTAATATTTATAACTCTGAGAATTCTGATAATTTTCTTTTTCTTTTTTTCAAAAACAAAGGAGAAGTTTTCACATGTAGATACATCGATAAAGCTGTTTCATATCTTCACTGTCAGTACAGTACAAATATTAAATAATCAGAAAGCCATGTTTATAACACGCCAACTTCTTACTCCTCCTACTACTACTCCCTTTCTCTCTCCATTTCCGCAAATTTTGGTTCTCTTTGCCACACCCTTCTCAGTCATATATATTCTTTTTAAATTTTATTCCTTCTTTTATTTTTTATTTTTTGCTGTGTGATACAGTGATGATTATTTCTGTTTATAGGTGCTTGTTCAATTGTCTAGAGAATTATGGTATCTCTTTAACCCAAAGCAGAGAGTGCATTCGGTTGCATCAATCCATCTAATGATATAATTTCGTATTTTTTAACTCTGTCTTTGCAGTTGCTTTTGCTAGTTATATAGGACAATCTTGTGCATACGATTTACTGGCACAGTATGTCATTCCAGAAACACATATCTCTATTTCCAAAAAGAAAAAAACACAGATCTCTCTTGAAAGCAACGCAAAATGGAGGTTCATTCATATACGAATGTGATATTTCTCATCTTGTTGAATATAAAATTATCTTCCCAGATACGGCGCCAATGTACCATTCAATACAACGAGCCCACTATGTACCCTTGAGGGTAATATCACTATATGGATTATACCTCTAGCTGAGGTAAAGACCAGGCTAGGAGGTAATATTCCAAGGGGTAGCAAGCTGATATTAATGACAGACAGATAGTAAGAGTATAACTGAGAAGTAAATGGGCATAATAACAGTACATAAAAGTAGATCCTTCCCTTGTGCCCAAGGGTGGTACTTATAGGAGTCCAGGAGTCTGATCCGTTAGGGCTTAGGTATTGGAGGTCAACGCTCCTTGGGATTCGTTGTGAGGAGCTGACACGCCTGGCGCTGCAGCGATGCAGGGTCTGCTCTTGGGCGATGTTAGCATGCGGCAGCAGGGCGGTTTCCACTTATGGTCTCTGGGCGACCCGCAGAGCATATGGGGTTCCAAGGTAAGACATTTTGGTGTCTTACCTTGGGAGGCGAGCTGCCTTGGGGCATGCGTCTAGGGCCAACACGTAGGGCTGACGTGTATATAACTTGGGGTACTGGGCTTAGGCTGTTTGGGGCTCTGTGAAACTGGGCCATCTACGTTACAAGGCCCTTGGGCTTTGGATGTGGTTAAGCCATCCGGAACAATGACCATTCATGTAAAATCATGTCAAGAAAAAAAAAATCTCATATACTTTTATATAATGTAAAATATAATTTTATCTCTTATAAAATGAGAGATATTAAATTAAATTTTTAATAATATATATATAAGGGTAAGATCCTTTGATATCGGTATCAAATTTAAAATTTGACACTTCATCTGTAAGCCGTTAGATCAAAAAAGATCAATGGTATCACATACTTACAAATCAGAGTAGTTAATTCTTTTTTATTTAATGGTTCTTAGAGAAGGTGTCAAATTTTAAAGTTAACACTGGTGTTAAAGGATCCTGCCCCATATAAGAGAGGATCATTTGACATCGGTGTCAAATTTAAAGTTTGACACCTTATCTGAAGCCGTTAGATAAAAAAAGATCAATGGTGTCACATACTTAGAAACCAGAGTCGTTGATTTTTTTTATCTAATGGCTCTTAGATGAGGTGTCAAAGGATCCTGCCCCATATAGGGGGAGGATCCTTTGACATCGGTGTCAAATTTAAAGTTTGACACCTCATCTGAAAGCCGTTAGATAAAAAAAGATCAATAGTGTCACATACTTACAAACCAGAGTCGTTGATTTTTTTTATCTATGGACTCTTAGATGAGGTGTCAAACACTTATATATATATATATATGAGCTTATCGTTTCTCAAGCTGCTTAAGATAATTTTATCTCTGGCTACTAAATCATAACCGTATAAAGATGGATTAATGGTGATAAAGGAAGAGAGAGAAAAAGGGAATCATAACCATTCAAAGGTGAATCTATTAATATAAGAAAATAAATAAATAAAACGACGTATTTTTGAGGTAGCCGGAGATAAACTTATCTCAAGCTGCTTGAGAAATGTTTTTCCATATATATATGGGTTCGTTTTTCTGCATTTACTGTAGATAAGTTATCTACAGTAAGCCCAATACGACATCGTTTTGGACGGAAATCATGGTGTTTTTGTAATTTTAATTTATTTCAGGGTTATAATATTCTTTATAATTATAATTTTTTAAGATTTCAATCCCAAAATGACATCGTTTTGAGAATAAATGCAGATAACTTATTTGCAGTAACTGCAGAAACATTTTTCCCTATATATGTGTATATATATATATATATATATATATATATATATATATATATATATATATATATATACATAGGAAATGATATTGTAACAACATATTAGTGTTACTACCAATCAATTTTGCCGTTAGATCGATTATGTTGATCTAACAGTTATATTTATTTCCATCTTTGTATGGTTATGATTCTCTATATTTAATACTTTATATTTATTTTTACCTTTGTATGGTTATGATTTCTCATATTTAATTCTTTCACATTAAATATGGGGAATCATAACCACACAAAGATGGAAATAAATATAACCGTTGGATCCACATAATTGATCTAACGGTAAAATTGATTGGTAGTAATACTAATTGGTTGTTACAATATCATATAAATATATATATATATATATATATATATATATATATATATATATGGGCTTTATTAATCTCATGCAATAGGAGATAACTCTCTCATACTATAGAGACAATTATGTATGGGACCCATCCACTTATAGAAAAAGAAAAAAAGATAAAAAAAGTAACACGAAAATTGATGTATGTGTAGGAGATAAAAACACTCTCTTACAATATAAGAGTATATTTTCCCTATATATATATACATATATATATATGAAGGATCTGTTAACAAATTTTTTTTTTTTTTACAAATTACACTAAGTATGACCAGTCATGCACTTTTGATTGAAGTATGACCGGTCATATTTAGTGTAGTTTGTAAATATAAAATTTCCTATATATATATATATATATGGAAAAAAACTATTCTCATGCTGCATGAGATAAGTTTTTCCTCCTACAAGTTTCCCCTCGATAATCGTGCCACCTTTTTTTTTCTTATTTCAGGTGGAGCCACAAGTTTGTCTCTATGATATGATATTAATCTCATTTAACATGAGATTAATAAAATCATATATATATATATATATATATATATATATATATATCTGAGGTAGGATCCTTTGACACCAGTGTCAAATTTGAAATTTGACACCTCATTTGAGAGCCATTAGATAAAAAAATATCAACGACTCTGATTTGTAAGCATGTGACACCATTGATATTTTTTGATCTAATGACTCTCAGACGAGATGTCAAATTTTAAATTTGACACCAGTGTTAAATTTGAAATTAGATCAAAAAGATCAACGACTCCGATTTGTAAACATGTGACACCATTGAGATTTTTTAATCTAACGGCTCTCAGACGAAGTGTCAAATTATTTGACACTGGTGTCAAAGGATCCTATCTCACATATATATATATAAGCAGGATCCTTTGACACCGGTGTCAAATTTGAAGTTTGACACCTCATCTGGGAGCTGTTAGATCTAAAAAGATCAACGACTCTGATTTGTAAGCATGTGACACCATTGATCTTTTTTGATCTAATGGCTCTCATATGAGGTGTCAAACTTCAAATTTGACACCGGTATCAAATGATCCTACCTCATATATATATATATATATATATATATATATACTTGTTTTTGGTGATTTTTTTTTTCTTGGGAACTAGGGGCCTAGGGGGTAATAGGTTTTGCCGACCTTGTTTTTTCATAGTATTGTAGGCTTGTCCTAGTCTTTATTTGGGTCCATTGCTAAACTCGTATTTGGCTTAAAAAAACTAGTTTATTGTTATAAAAAAAAAAAATAGTTTATTTACCTGAGGTTTTCCTTGTAGTCAGTATGGTTTCTTTTATGGATTTTATAAAAGTTATGTCGTAGGAAAAATGATTCTGTAATGTTATAGAGATTCGTTTTACGTGTCGTAATTTTTTTTTTCTTCAAAAAGTGTGAGCTCCACAAAATATTGTGTGTGTACGAAAGTTTGTTGTGTCATGTTAAATGACAAATACAAACTCCTTCTTTGATATCATAAAAAGAGAAAGAACAGAAAGGAATACAATAAAAATTAAAAACATTATCACCTTTCTTATTTAGTGTCATTTAAAAAAAAAAATTTATATTTCATTTATATATGTGTAAATGAAAATGTATAATATATATATAATGGGCTTCACAATTTTTGCCTATAATAGGTA